TTCCGACACTAGTTTATCTAAAGATTACTTATAATGGCTTTTTTTGATAAATGAAAACATCACTTTTTAATGTTTGCTAGTACATGAACATGTAAGGTAATCCGTTTCACAAGGTGCTCTCTCCTGGTGGACCTTCACTCAAAGACCCCCCTGTTGCGCTCTTCCCATAGAAGCCAAATAGTAGTAAAAAAAAAATGGAAGACTAGATAATATGGAGACCCTGAGATTTATATACAAAAGACTGTGTATAAGCTGCCAAATGAGCAAAACGAAGAACCTTGAATTTATTAAAATGAAGACAACCATTAATTTGAATACAAGAAAAACCAACTGCTTGTGTTGACCAAAAAGAAGAAAAAGGAGTAAGAATAATAAATTTCTTGCAAAAAACTTGAGAATTCAAATTTTCTTATTTTTTGAAATATAAAACAAACGATAAATAAGGGGTGTAATAAACTCATTGGGGCTTGAAATAGAGGGGATTGATGGTCGAGTTCTGCCTTAAAATCATAAGAGTTTTTCTTGAGTAACGGCAGTCTCTCTATCTAAAAATCACCTTTTGGCCCCAAAAAAGTCTAAGATTCTTTCCTTGAACTTTTTCATAAGGACAGAGAATGAAAAATTTTCCCTAGAGATTACCATTTTTCGTAAAACCTTTTAGGTCAATTTTAGTCTCCATTGGGATTGGCTTGTTTGGAGCTAGACCGATGATCTAGGCAGTCCAGACATTGGATCAATTGATTTGCCAGTCTAGGTTGGGTTTGTTGGAGCATCTGGCCTAGGGGAGTAGACTAGACAAGAAAGGTCACAAGTTCAATGGTTTTTGATTCAAACCTGCCATTTTGGTTAACTCTCAACACTATTGGAAGAGAGTGGACAAACCCACACAGGAAGTTGGTGAGCCTCAACATGGAAGGAATCCAACGGCCAATGTTAGAAGTCAATGCAACATTTGTGATGGAGGGGACATTCAGCTTGTTCCTAACCAGCCTTGGGCGCCTTTGATTAATTAATATTCCAAGAATTAGGTCCCTGGTTTGTTTGAAAAGGAGAGGGTACATGGAATCAAAATTGATATTCTCGAGTTTCGTGTTCTACTCCATCTGAACGACTTTCTTGATTGGCTGAGTAAAATTGGAAAATATATTTAAATATAAAGATGTTGCCAAGTAAAAAAGTTTGAAATTAGTAGCAACAAAGTTTTTAGGTCTTGTTCTGGGGTGGTGGGATGATTTGCAATCTGATCACCTTCTAAAAGGCAAGGAGAAAATTAATTCATGGAAGAAGATGAAGACCAAATTGGGCTAAAAGTTTTTACCCGTGAATTGTGCTTGAAACTTGCATCAAAGGTGTCAAAATCTCAAGCAAGAAGAGAAATTGGTGATTTAGTATATATTGTGAGCTTTATACTTTGTTTTGGGCAGGGTTACAAGGGCTTAAGGATCAAAAGATAAGTTCTTACTTAAATGAGTTAAGTCGAACATCTAGAATGAGTTGGCCTTCGAGGATGTCTTAAATTTTCAAAGCCTACACATTGGCTCTCAAAGCAGAGGAAATTTTAAATTTGGGCTTTGCAAAAAATCCAACTTCAGGCGAGTGGTTGGATTTTAAGGTGGAAAAGGTCAATAGTAAACCCTTAAGTAATGAAAGGTGGTTGAATTTTATAAGTTTTGCGCTAATTCCTCTATATACATGTGTTGATTTGTTTCTTGAGGTGTTTTCACTACCATTCGTACTTTTAGAGCCGTTAGAGACGAAGGTTCATATCTTGATATATTTCTTGAGGTATTTTTTTGCAAACATTTACACTTTTAGAGCCAATAGAGAAGAAGATTGAAGAAGTAAGTGGAATTGACGTAGAACGCATCTCAGTTGTCTTCAAAACTCAAGGACGAGTGTTCGCCAACTAGAGGATAATGATGCACATAAGGTAGGGGCAAATATATGTTTTTCTTTGGATTTTACTTATGGGGTTAAGCAATATAGTTTGGGGATTTTAAAGCTTTTTTAAGTTGTTTTCTTATTATAGATTGTTGGGGTCTAGGTTATAACAAATAAGGTCTTCTTTGACAGTCAGGAAATACAAAAAAGACCGCACTTTTGATATCTTGGATCGATAATCCAGTAAAATAGAGAGATTAAGGAAGACGTCGCACACATAATTAGAGCTGGATGGGCAAAGTGGAGATGTACAACTGGAATTTTATGTGATCACTGCATACCAATGAAGTTAAAGGGCAAGTTTTACAGGACAACTGTGGGACTAGCTTTGCTTTATGGGGCTGAATGTGATTTGAGAAGAATCAAGACCCCTATTTGCATAAAAAATGTTTCTTTTGATGTGGTTTCTTGCGTCATTTTGATGTGTGATAGTTTGGTATTGGGTTAAAAGGCTTGTGTTTGATTTCAGTCTGCTATGTTATTTTGGCTGGTAAATTTTTGTAGATATAGTTCTAAACTTTTTGTTGGATAGCTTAGGTTTGCTTCTGTTTGATTTTTTGTGATTTTAAATTTTCTCTTGTTATGGAATGGTTTCTTGGACTTTTAGTGCAGTTAGAATGTCTTGGCAGAGGTGAAAATTTCTTTATGTGGTATTCTGTTGGGGTGGTTTTGTCAGTTAGAGGTGACTTGGATTGTAAATATCTTAATGTTGATGTGGAATCAGTTCGTACTGTAGGATGCGCAATATGCATGTTAAAATTTTTATTTGTTTCTTTCATTTATTTTTTGATAAAGATTATTGTGGATTTAGTGCTGTGTACTTCAATCATGAATTTATGATGACTTTAAATTGCTGAGTTTGGTAAAAGTGTCATCGTGTTTTTACTTTATTTAGGTTTTTGATAGTTTTTTGTGTCATTTGATTCTTTTTTCCTTGTTTGTTTAGATATAGAAAGTTGCTATTGCTCAATGTCCATGAAGGCGGAGCCGCCTGCCTAGGCAGATTGGGGGTCTGGCGGCCTAGATGGGCGCTTAGGAACAAGGACGCATCCCCCCCTGCTGTCTTTTTCTCTTTCAAAAGCCTAACTCAAAAAGGGCTTTTCAGCTAATTCACATTCAAAGATTGCCCACAATAACGCAAAATTATGCTAGGCCAAAATTCTCATAAATTTTTGAAGTATGAAAATTTAGCTAAAGTTTTATGTTAGAAAAATTTCATTTGTTTTCTGCCCACAATGTGAATTTCAACAAGGATACCCCCCCTTCCCAAAAGAAAAAAAAAAAACAAAACTCCCCTCTTTCTCTCATATGAACTATGTAGGATTAGCACAAATCGTCCTCTGTCTATCTCTTATGTGTTTGTGAGTGTGTTTTTAAGGGATCGAGTCTAGGCAGATAAATGGGTTCTTTCTTTGATTTTAAAGAAAAAAGATGGATTCTCTCATGGTATGTCTGTTCATTATCGATAAATGGGGCCTCACGTCACTCTCTCTCAAACACATACACACACACAGTGGCACATCTTACTCTTGCTCTCAAACACGATCAATCACATAGTGGAGCATCATCCTCTATCTCAAACATGATCAACCGTAGTGGGGCATCGTTCGATGCATTGCCGTCATTCTCTCTCTAGGATGCAAGATGTGTCTTGGGGGATTAAAATGTCCCCCCAAACCTTTCCCTCTTATTAGGGGAAAAATATCAAAACAAATCCCAAAAATACCCCAGACTGAGGGCATTTTACTGCCCTCAGCCAAGTTGCTAGGCGGCGCCTTGGCCGCGTAGGCGGGCTCTTTGGAGTAATGACGTCTATGGTGCCCACCTAGGCCCTCTTGGAATTATGTCCTTCAAGGCATTAAAATTCCACCATGGTAAATGACTCTTGACTTCAGTGGGAGTACAAGAGCAACGTGACTCTAGGATCTTAGCGCACTAGGACCAAGAGTCATGGAATGTTTGAGCGAGTTTGCACGGAAGCGCAATCCATTCCCTTGAAAGAATCGGTTTGCTCACCATTCCCTTGAAAGAATCGGTTTGCTCAGTTTTGCATCTGAGTTCTGTATTCCTGTCCTACATGAGAGAGTCATGAGGAGGATTTGTATGCATGGAAGGCATCGAAAGGGTTGAGGGTTACCTCTAGTCAAGGTCGTTTATTGTTATTGGGCCTCATGATCGTGTGATGGGCCAGGGCGATGTGTTTTATGTGATTGATGATATAAGCTCGATGACCAAATTAGCCCTGTATGGGAAGGAAGGTTAGGGCCAACAATCGGCATAAGTCCTTGACTTATAGAACCTTATCATAGCATATGCATAAACAGTCGCAATGCATGGGAAGCCACTGTTCCAGGGATCCACTGCTAAGAGGTATGCACATGTGGTAAGAGGGGAACCCCTCACCTTGTATGTGCATGTCCTCTAGGGAATGCACCTAAAATCCACTAGTACTTGGGGATTCATGGTCAACTCATTGGTTCGACTTTGATAAGATATATTATGAGCCCCTGATTATACACTGTGGTTCATAAGTTTGTTGTGTCATTTCGAGAAAGTGGCTTTAGATTTCGACTCTAGTCAAGTGGAGTGCTTTGATTCTTAATTCAGTTCCATAGGATACTAATTCCCCTTGAAAATGTTTGTAAACAGTGTTAACGTGATTTCTTTTGATAGAAAATGATTAAAAGGATTTTTGGAAATGTTTGGAGATTTTTTCAGATTTTTTGAGCAAGAAAATGTGTTTTATGGAATTGTTTTCTTAAAATGATGATTTAGGATAGGCTCCTCGGGACTTGTATGGGACACCCAAATGGCCAATGGGTGTCCATGTAGGCATGGGAGGTTCCCATGTCAGCTCCATGTGGGGATGACATGGGGGATGACATGGGGGTGACATCAAACCCCATGGGGAATCCATCGTCCTTTGGTGAGTTGTTGTTTTAAGTGGGGGGCATTTAAATCCTTTAAATATTGGGTTTTATATTATTTTGGAAAATTGGAAAATTAATTTAAGCACATGTTAAATGTGAAAAGTAGGTGGTATGTGCACATGTGTGAGCCCTTTTAGAAGGGGCATAGGGTTTGATGTTTCAATTTAAACCCTAAGAGCCTGTGGTAATTGTGCAGTTAATTAACTTGCGCATGTGATATTTTGTGTTTGGCCACATATGCTCTTTCAAAATAGATGGAAAGTTTCAAAATTGATTTTTGCTAGAATTTTGTATAATTACCTCAAGGGTAATGCCCTCCATCTTGGTTTTAAGTTTAATTATTTGGAAAGAGCAAGCGTATTTTCATATAAAGGGAATTTTGTATGAATTATGATTTTTAAAAAGGAGGGTAAAGGTGTTTAAATTCATACCATACATCATGATCGCATGATGGTGGATGGTAGGCTAGGATTAAGCCTCACTTTGTAGCCATAGGATGATAACATGAAATGCCTAGATTCATATATCTAGGAGTATATATACACTTGGTGGCTAGAAGCCTATAAATATCCCCTCACTCATTCATTTTCTATATGCTTGAAGCTCACACTTTCTCTCTCTAAGTGGCACGTCCTTTCCCTCTATTTCTCCTAATGTGGCACTCCCAAACCATTTTAATCTCTTTTTCTCTCTCTTCCTCCATGAGATTAAAACATGAGTGGAGTGATCAAATTCTAGTGAGAAAGTTCCATTGATGATTAATTCAAGCTCCATCAAAGCCATGGATGATCTAAGAACCAAGAGATCCATCGAGTAAGATCTAATCCTTCTTCCATTGTTTTTGAAGTGCTTTCTTGCTGTGAAATCCAAATTACCACACTGTTTCTTGATCTCTAAAGTTCTTGATTCATAGTTCCTTGATCTAAGATTGATCGATATAGTTGATGGCTCCTTCCATGCTATTGATGGTTTCAATGAGATTTCTATGATATTTCCTTTGTGATTTATGGTATTTAATTGACTGAATTTTTTCTGAGATTTTGACGTTAAGATCAGTCAATTAAAACTCCTAATTGATGGATCTAAATGGAAAATGGTGTTTTCACATCCATGTTATTGATGGTTTCATCCTTGGTTGATTGTTCTAGTTTCCATGAGATTTTCTTTGTGAAATTAGGAGATTATTTGGCTGACATTTCTTTGAGATTTTGACATCAAGATCAGTCAATTATATTTCATATTTATGGATCTAAAAAGTGATTTTAACAGGAGAGACTATGGTGAAATTTCCTCTTGCCATACTTTTGAAATTTGAAACTGGTTTTATGATCTAGTATGTCCTTCTCTCCGATTTGCCCACTACTTGTTTGATCAAATTGATCTTTGAAATCCTTCCATATTTTTCAAGTGTATATCAATAGATGCTTTGCTTCCCACAAATGTTCAAAACAGCATAGTAGGCCGGCAAGGTGGTTTGGGCTCTGGGCCGCTTACGCGCTAAGGTGGCCGCCCAGACCCAAAAGCGGCATGTGTTGTCTTTTTTTTAAACGTTGGATCCCCAACAACTCTCAACTCTCCTTATTTTATTTCATATACTTATTAATTTTTTGATTTACCAATAAATTAATAATTACTGTTACATGTAAAACGACAAGTGGCATAAAAACTCTAATCTTTCCATATATTAATTAAAACTAAATTAATTCTATTTTTTGGTTTACCAATAAATTAATAATTACAAATTAATACTATTTGGTTTGCCAATAAATTAATAATTACAAATTAATACTATTTTTTGGTTTACCAATAAATTAATAATTACTATCACCTGCAAAAATTATTTTCGATAAATTAATAATTATGAATTAATATTGTTTTATAGTTTATCAATAAAATAATAATTACTATTACATGCAAAAAGCATTTTCGAGAGGTGGTGTATTGATTAACACTGAATTAATACTATTTTTTGATTTACCGATAAATTAATAATTATTGTTACATACAAAAAGAATTTTCAATAAATTAATAATTACAAATTAATACTATTTTTTTAGGTCTACCAAATTAGTTAGCAATTACTATCATATGCAAAAAGTATTTTAGATAAATTAATAATTAAAAATAAATATTATATTTTGGTTTACCAATAAATTAATAATTACTGTTACATACAAACAACTAGTGGCATAAAAGTCTAATCCTTCCGTATATTAGTTAAAACTGAACTAGTACTATTTTTTAGTTTACCAATAAATTAATAATTACGAGTAATACTAATTTTTTGTTCAGGTCAAGGTGGCGCCTATTCCACAACTAGGCATTATACAGGCCACCTAGTCCACAACTAGGCATTTTTCAAAAAATGCTGCCTAGGCGGCTTAGTGGCCGAATTTTCGTTCATTGCTTCCCACCTTTGACAGTTTGAATTTGGCCCGAATTGAGATGTGCCATCACATGTCACTCTATGACATATAGCTAAGACCTAAGGCCATGAATTGGGCGCTCGAGAGCTTCGATTGGCTTCCCATGATCATTTGCATTGATTATGTGAGCAATTCCGTTTTTGTGATTTGAAGATCATGATTTCATGAGTTTTATGATGTCATGTGATGTATAATTTTGCTATGTAAATTTGCATGGTGCTTAAATTCATCACCTCATATAAGTGTTGTATGTGGATCTCCTTTGTGTAGTCTTGAGTTGTCTTGGACAAGGGATCAATTGAGTTGTATCCTCTTAATATTGAGTCTATAAGAAGTGTTTGATGAATGTAATTTCATTGATGTGGATTGAGGCTTGTATTGCCATTTGTATTGTAACTCGTAAGAATTTTGAGTTGCATTGTCATACATTGTCAAGTGTAAGTTGTATTTTGGTTTCTATACTCTCAACCCCCCCTAGGCCTTTTGGCCCAGCTGCTTAGGTGGCCGGGCGGCTGAATTTTTGAACAATTCTATTGCTTTTTAATTTTTGAGCATCTGGGTTGCGTTTTTAACGTAGCGTTATTACTTCTGGCTCGTCATGTTAAGTTTTGTAGGTGGCCTTGTACTGTATTGGCCATTTCTGTATGGAAAGGGGAGTACATAAATTTTATCATCCTTGATATTTGAAGCTAAGCCTTGGAGGGTGGTTGCTTGTGTTGAATATGCATATGTACATATCATAATTTTACTTTCATTTTCTTTCACTTTAATATTTCAATTGCATGACATCGTGGTTTTGAATAAGTCACAGGTGTATTGAGTCTCACTATATGTTTTAGATTTTGAATTCACCATGCGGGTGCAAGTGAATGAAAGTTTTTCACTATTCAAACCCTTGGTTTTGGTTTTCTTGGATACTCCTATTTTGACGAGGTTAAGTTCTACTTTTTTGTATAGATGATGTCTGTGAATGTGCTCCAAATTTGGAGCCATCTAGCTTGATGAATGATTTTCGATGTAATACTTATGGGAGCAACGAGTTTCAATTCAGGAAGGCTTTGGGAGAGCTTGAATTTAGAAAAGCTTTTCTTATTCTGAACTACATTGGCAAGTAAGTTCTAATGGTTTGGATTTATTTATGTTCAATTGATTGTTACATGACATGCTTATTTCTTAGAATCAACATTATTAAGACCGGACTAGAAATTTAACTGGTGGAGACATTAGTTTGGCTACACCGGTGGAACTGGACCAGTTCACCAGTTAGACTGGTAAAAAAAAAAAAAGGAATGAACTGTAGAAATAATTGAAAAATAGAGAAAAAGAAAAAAAAATTTAGAAATCTAAAAATATATGAAAATTAAAAATTGTTAGGAACGATGAGAGAGTATAAATTATTATCCCAATTATTTGGGTTCGGCTACATGAATCCCGTTTCGCTATTCTACTCTATCAAGGACCATACCCCACATTAGCATGAACATAGAACATAGGTTCAGGGTTCATGACAAGATTTGGAAAAGTTTTATGCCGGCTTCCTTGCCTAACACAACCCTCCTCTTTTACCCGGGTTGGGACTGGCATGATCGGCTTGTGGCGGCCCACGTGCAGTTAGAGAGAGAGAAAGTATTAATTGAAATATGACTTTGTTGAACTATCTAAAATGGAAGAATGGGGATATTTCACAAAGATCTCAGAAATCAGGTAATGAAACATTTTTTCTTTTCTAAAAAGAACCAAGAAATATATTTGCAAGGTAGATCCTAGTTTTTTCATAAGGTGTAGCCCTATTGCCTACCATGATCAGGCATCAACTTCACCTGCTTTGGAAGGGAAACAATCTAAAATAGGGAGTTTGAATAATGAGTTTACAACCTGAATGGATGCTTAGCAACGGTCCATGGCAGAATGAGGTTTAGCAACTTACAAAATGCCTCACCCAATTTGATTGCAAAAATGAATAGAAAGCCAAAAGAATCAAAATAATGTACAAAATCCACCAATTGAACCAATTGGGTAAATGCCTACAACATTAAAGCGAAAAAACCATAATATTGAATGCGATAAATGACCCATTGCAATGATCATAGAAAAAGTTCATTATTTGTAAAACCCTTGAAAAGCCTAAATTTATTCTCACTTTTCATAAAATATAACACCAAAATCAGAAAATAAATCAAAGAAGCTTATGTGGAGGTTGAATGGCAGAATAGGCGGCTGCAATCCGCTTGGAAAATCGTTGGAAATATAGACGTAGACTTGGGTTTTTGGTGTCTGAGAGAGAGGCCAAAATTGCCGAACTTGCTCTTTCTCTCTCTCTCTCTCTCACACACACACACACACACACTCTGAAAACCTGCTTTTTGAATCCCAGCTCACCTATATGCACTGTTACCCTGACACTTGGAATAGAAACTGGTGTGCATGTCGAAACTTGGCGAAACGGCCCTGACACATGACTGTATGTGTTGGATGATCATCAACTATTAGTATGGTGTCAACACTTTAAATAGAAGTATTTGTTTTTTATGGCGTAAAATGGGTAGAGATCTACATTGTAGGAGAGCTATGTGTCCTTCACCAGCTTTATTCATTTTGGCTTAGAAATCCTTCACTGATTCTGTGGTTCATTTACCATGGCTTGCAACTTTATTCCTTTATGGCACAAAATTTTATATAAAAGCATAATAACTAAGTGCTTGTGGTCGAATGGAACCCTACCCAATTCCCTTGCATGTGTCACTTCTACCATTATGCTGTCATTGTTTGTATGTAGTAAAAGCAAAGGTAAAATTATAAATGGATGTATTATTTAGTTAGTAATTACATGCTCACATCAAGATTTGAACCCCTGCCACCTTGGAGTGAGCTCCATGCCATAAGCACTACCACCTCTCCATTAACGCAATTGTTGTCATAAATTGGAAAATAATATTATTAAGTAATTAATATACAATATTTTATTTATGGAAAATAGATGTGTGGATGTCTCTATCCATACTGACTTTTTATCCTGGAGTAGTAGACACAACACTCATGAACACCGACACCTATGTCGGTTTCCGCATAACACTGCCAATATGATAGTATTTAGTAAGAAACCTTAACAATATTCAAGAGGATAGAGAAAACCACCTGAAAATGACTTCGAATGTCAGAAAAAATTAAAAATAAGGTACTCGCCTAGAATTATTGTTGTACGATTGGATCGGCTGGTTTGGTCTGGCGTGGGTTTTGGAGTTTATACTACAGATTGCTTCAATCTGGGGCTTTTTATTTTTATCTTGCAGGCAAAGGATAGATGATGTCTTGTCCATAGAGAAAATCCGAACATGGAAGGACTTGTCCATGCAATGCTTTGAATATGAGGTTTGGAGGACAGTTGGCGAGCGCTATGCCTCTCAAACTGATAGAAGGGTAAGCCTCATCATAGCCTATGCAATATCTTTCTTCAGTATCTCTTGAGCAATGCTAAAGACTGTACCATTTGTTGAACCAATTAGCATACTGGTCTGATCCTACTGGGAAGGTTTTTTTTTTTAATTATTAAAATGGAATCAATCCCCTGCTGTATTACATTCTTTATACATTGCTTTTAAGGGTGCATTCCTATTGTTTTTTTGAAATAATAATTTTATTTTGTTTTGGCATAGTTCTATGAATCCATCTTTTTTGTTTTCTGTATGTGTTTTCTCATACTTGTTCTTCCTTTGATTTTGATTACCATCTGAAATTTCTTTAGTTATTTTGTTGTCATTTTTTTTATAATGAAATTGTGCAAGTGCATTCATGCAATTTGGTAAGGTTTTTCGTTGGCTACTGGAGGACAAGACTACATGTTCAATCACATTGTAGCACTTGTAAACACTGGCTGATTACAATTAGTGGGTGGTATTATTTATCGATTTTTTGGTGGATTGTGATACTCTTGATGTTAGACAGTGTCTATACTCACTTTCCATGGGTGTTGCTCCACTGGCTTCAGTTGTTCCTGCTCCCATTTTAAGTGCAGTATGAGACAATCTTATTTGAGTAAACCATTATGCCTAATAATTGAAAAAATTAGATCAGTCAGCTACTAACCTTTTTGAGTACCGAAATTAGTTCTTTCAATGCCTGCTAGTGTTTCAAAAAGCGCTAGGCCTAGGTGGCTTGGGGGGTCCAGGCCGCCCAGCGCCTAGGCGGGCACCCTGAACTTGGGCAGCCCAGTTGAATCCAAATAAGGATTCTGCAGTTTTGTCAGTATCAGTTATATGTATTGCAGTACATAATTCAAATTATACTAAATATTAGCATTTAGCACACACTCTATAAGCATAAGCATAATCCATAAGTCGGTTCATACTCCATATCCAATTAAAACTTAAAGTTTTCCAACCAACTAAATTATCAAATCAAGTTATCAAATAGTATCACACCGGTATTGTAGTATACCACCATGAGGAAGAAAACAAATTTGAATTATGAAACTATGAAAGTAATACTTGAAGACTCAAGAATCTTCAATAGTTCAATACACAATACTTCAATCAAAGTTCAAACTTCAAAGTTTAATAATTATTCAACAATCAACATTCATCATTTATTCATCATCAGAAAATCTTGGGTTAGCTGCTTTGGCATCATATTCATCGGAGTCGTCACCCTCCTCGACATATTGGTCGTCCCCATCCTCCTCCGTCTCTTCTGAATCAGCCTCGTCTTCCTCCTCTTCCTCCATCCTTGTTCTCTGTGCAGAACATCTAGTGGTCCTAGGAGGGTCAGCTGATGTCTCTGAAGCATCCATGATCATGTTTCATGTCAATCCTTCATGCTTCTCGACCTCATCATCATCAATTAACCACTCCATAGCATGGTCTATATTTTTTTGATCTGATGGGGTCTCTTTTATCTCTTTTAGCAAACTTGTCATTCAAGAATCGATTGTACTTGCCATAGACTAGGTCATTGAGCCTCTTTGATTCAAGCTTGTTCTTTTTCTTTGTATGAATCTAATAAAATAAAATGAAACTAATTAAAATCTAATATCTATGGTTCATGTATTGTTTATAAAATTATATAAATTATCCTTACGGCCTTACCTCTTCAAAAGTACTCCAATTGCGCTCACAACCGGATGAAGAAGTGGTTAGGTTTAAGATCTGAATGGCCAACTTTTATAAATTTGGAGAACTACACTCATGTTGGCTCCACCAATGGGCTGCAAAGATATAGAAAAAAATCATAAATAAATAATAGAATTACTTGATTACTTGAACTTGATGAAGATGAACTTGAAAATATTGTTAATACCTGGATTAATTTTGGTCCTTTGCCTCATCGCCATTGGACTCCCAAAAGACTTTAATGAGTACTTGTAATTTATCAGGTCATCAGTGCATATAATATCCTGCATATCAGGATCAGGGATTAACACCTCTACACACTCATTAAATTCGTTCATAATTGTGTCATTTGTTTATATATCCTTGTCAATATAAAAAAAGCTGGGTTCAAATAATAACAAGCTGCATGGAATGGCCGATGTAGCTGCCTTTCCCACTTCTCATCATTAATCTCCCAAACAGGCTTGTAGCGGGTTTTTTCATCATTGAAATTTTGGGCTATCTCTCTTTTGTATTTTTCTATAGTATCATATATGTAGCCCATAAAAGGCTTGTCACTATCAACCATGCGAAAGACTTTGATAAGAGGAAAAAATAACTTAAGAGCGCCTTGCACCCCTCGTAAAAAAGCCTTAGAAAGGATAATATCTCTCACCTTCTTCTCAATTTGATCCTTAAACCACTTGCGTGCTCTCCACTCATCTGACGTAAACATTTGCCTCAATTGCACTCTCCTCAAATGTATGCTATATAGGCATAAGTACCTGATTGCAAATCTCGTGATCCAGGCCTCACAATCTCTTTCTTCTTTGTAAAAGTACGCATCATGCTGAGGGTGAAATGGTGGCTATAAATGAAATTTATAACTAACTTGGCCTTCTTCATTGCACTTGATGTCTCGGTTAAGCCGCCAATAGCCTCAAGTGTGAGGTCTATACAATGTGCTGCACATGGTTTCCAAAAGATTATAGGATAAGCTATGCGCAACAAATTAGATGCAGCAATATTAGGAGCAGCATTATCTGTGACAAACTGTACAACAAGATGCTCCCAACCTCCTTGATTCCCTTCTATATCACTTGAAATATGTAATGGGCATCATGGATATGATCAGAGGCATCAATAGACCTTAAAAAAACAGTCTCTGCAAATTCATCTGACTTTTTCTCTTCCTATCACTCTAAACATCAGTCATAATAGTAACCCCATATTGAGCCCATGCATCCTTCTTAAGTTCTACAACTTCCTTTGTGGCACTCAGTGCCTTTTTTAAAAAAGGCTTTGAAAGCTCATATGGGGTTGGGGGTTTCATCTCAGGGCCAAATTGGTCAATCGCCTCTATCGAAACATAGAAGTTGCTCAAACGAGCGGTATTGAAATGAATGCCCACCTCATAAAACCATGTAACAAAATAATACGTAGCTCTATCTCTCTCTTTCTTCTTGATTCTATTTTCAATGGTGGTTTGCTTTTTTTATTTCTCTTCTGCAACCTCAGGGTCAGTCCGAGGTAAAAAACTATCCATAGGGCCTCTAACCCGATGCTTATTTGTCTCAGAACCAGAAGCAATTACAATTCCCATCCCCTTTCCCCTAATAATGGATTGTTCAATCTCTTGACATCCCTCCTCAATCCTTTCCTCATCAATATCATCATCATCATCAAAATTGACCCGAACCCCAGACCTAATCTCTGCTATAGTGGAAATCTCTCATCTTTTTTCATTTTCACCATGTTCAAAAAATTGTTTATTTTCTCTTTAACAACATCACGAGTCTTTTTACCTGGGGTAACATCCCCCTTGATACCGACAAGATGTTTCTTGAACCGGTTTATGCCCTTTTTGTATCATTTTCACAACTTGCATCTTATGCAATTTTTATCATTAGGACCTGGGTTATAGCCATATTCTCAACCGGGATCACTACTCCTATTAGATCCCAAAGAAGACATCTAAAAAATAATGCAAATTACTATAGCAATAAAAAAAATCACTTACTTTGTTTGATTGCTCAATCTTCAAACTTCCACCTCAAAGATGCTTCTAAATACTTAAAATCTTCTGAAAAACCCCCTAATGACTTTGCAAAACATCAAAAAATAAATCTAATATCAATGGGTGATGTTCTGATCAATTTTTTTTAACTTTGAGAAACTCTTCGATCCTAAAAAATTCACTAAAAACTAGTTTTTTCGGAGCTTTCTCTCTCTAAATTTGGTTCCAACAGGTTTTAGGTTTCAAATGAACCTAAAACCCTAAATTTTGGCCCTTAAAAACAAAAAAAAAGACCAAAATTGCCCCTACCGAAAGTTATTTCTGTTCCCTGGGCTGGGCGTAGGCCTTGGGCAGCCTCCCAAGGCTGGGCACTTGCCTAGGCTGGTTCCGTATCGCCTAGGCGGCCCCTTAGGGATCGACCCCCTAGATTAGCCGCCTAAGCCTGGGCGATGCGCCCAGGCCTTTCGGATCGCCTAGGCATTGGACGGTCCGCTTTTTGAATCACCGATGCCTGCTACATCTACAAGATGTTGATTGTTGGGTTATAATAAAATTGCATGGTGGTTTTAGGTAGGCTAAAGCTGTGCATGGCTTGTGGTAGGGTAAATCTGTGAATGGCTTGATATGTGTGTTGTAGTTGTTTTATTTTTTTTATCATCTTTTAATGAGTTGACACCCTGGATTTGGCTTTTAGAGTGATGTGTTTTGTAGGACTTGGTAAACTCATGCTCATCCTTGAAACTACATTTTTATTAGCAACAAATTCTAGGCATTCAGTGATTAACTTCCTGTCCTCCCTATGGTGCTTTTGCTAGTTGTGGTGGGTACTCAGAAGCTTATGGGAAGGGGGGGGGTTAGGCAGTTGGTGATGGAGGGAAAAATTGTTTTTATTCTTTATTTTTATTCAACTTTAAAGAATATACATTATAGTTTTCTTTTAGGGCTTATTTCTAGGGTTTTTTGTTTTTTAGGGATTCTAGGGTTTTTATAATTTTTGTCTATTCAATGGGAACTATTCACAAGTACTATTCACAGAGGTAAATTTCTCATTTCTCATTTAAGTTTAAGTTAGAATATATAGGTCATTTTAATCATTGTATGGGCATGTAATGTCTTTGAACATTGAATTATAATATATAAGAGATGTGTGGGGCGTTGAGAGGACAATTCCACATGTTTTTAAGAAAGTAAACGATAGAAAAGCTTAGTCTTTTGGAACCCTAGCTTGGGGTTTGGAGAAGAAACCTGTGGTTTGTTCGATTTATGCTTGTCTGGTTTGTTTCTTGCTGATTTTATTGTTCCCTCAAAGTTCTCCTATATCAGGTGGGAGCCTAAGCATGCTTAGTATTAAATGCATATGTAGTTTTGAGTTTTGACAAATTAGTTTGTTTTTGCAGTATCAACAATCCATAAGGGGTGGTGCATAACTTTTTGTGGATGATGAAATGCTCAAGTTTTCTTTCTTCATTTTCCTTGATTTGTACTAACAGGTTTTTGTAAAATTAGTTACAGTTGTAAAGTCAGACTCACAAAATTGCCAATCTCTATGCCAGTTAGTTTTGAAGTTGATGCTCATGCTTCTGCTATATATGTCTGTCCTTTCTTTAGTTACTGCTATTTATGAACGATTGGTTGAGACAAATTTGCTCTTTTGAACACCTAAAATTTCTCCGTCAGTTCCTCTTTAGTTGTGATTGGGCATTTAGACCCATGCTTAATTCTGTTTTATCATGTTTATTTTGTTGTCTGGATTTGTATACGAGGTTAGGTGGTTATTTTGGTACTTTGTCATAAGTTATTATGGTTTTAGTTGACAACATTTTCCTCATCTGCAATGGGTATTATGGTATGGTTTTGATTCCTTTTCCCTTTAATCAACTGGACTCTTCGGAGTATGAATATCTCAGTAAGCAGTGATCAGTTGGAGGGAACTTTCAGGAATATGAAGTCTAGTTTCATTTTTGGGGAGGCTAAATGATGTTGGTCATAAATATGTTTTCTTTCGTCTCATGCCTCGCAGAATCTTGATTGGGATTCCGGGAAAGCAGAAAACTACCAATGTCATGTGGATCCAGTAGGGAATTTCTCCTTTAAGGTTTGTATTCATTATTTATTTATTTATTGCAAGGTAGTATGCTTTTTTTCCTTTTGCAATGTGTCCGTATTTTTTGTGACCTTTCTAGCATTCTTCTAGGAAGGCTAAAATTTCTTTTGTGAATGTTTACACTTCTCATTCATTGGACATATCATATAGTTTACAGTATTTATCACAATCTCAATTCATGATTTATCTTCTTTGTTCTTTCCTCTCTATGTGCTTAGTTTGTTTTATTTTTTTCATTCAACATATTCAGTATGCATTTATTTCTTGTTTGGGAAGGAGCTTGAAATATAGAATACATGATACATGCTAAGAACCTCTTTTATTCGATTGGGCATCATGAAATTTCTAACTCTTGCTCAAGATACAACTGTGAAACATCTGTGTATCTTTTCATGAAAGTATTGTGTAATCACATGCTGTTTTGTGTCATGTTGAGTTCTAGTGGCCATTGTAACTAAAAGATTTTATACAGTTTCTTCGAGATGGAATGATGGAAATTTCAAATGACCATAGGTTCTTGCTGTAAGCAGGGCCCGTTCTTGGAAAGCACCCAAACCCACTTACGTAGAGTACTGGGGGATGACAAAGTTCTTACAGTAAAATTTGCAGAGGAAATGGTTGATGAACGCAGAGGGGAGTTCAATTTGTCGAGATCTAAGAACATATTTAGAAGGATTGCCAAAGATGGAATCCTTGTTGGCTTGCGCAGATATCATTTTTTTGGTAAGTTTTTCTCAATGTCTTGGAATTTATAGTATATTTGTCTTTTTTTGTTGTTTATAGTTTTCTTTGGTAAAAATGTTATGTGGATTGTGGAGAGGGAATGTGACTGAGTGGCAACATCTGTGATGCAATCAAATGGAAAAGTGCTTTTACCTCTGCTTAATTTCTTTCTGCAATGACCTCTCATCAAATATTGCTTCCTTGCCACCATTATATGGTTGCTTCTTTAAGAAGCCTTTCTAGTTGCATTTGTGTTTGGTTGAGTTTCTTTCCCCTTTATTTGAATTTTTGAAGTCTCTGATCTCCTCACTCTTCATGTATGCTGCAATATCTTCTACATTGTTTGTGAAGAGGGAAATCTTTCATTTGCCAGTTGCTATGTTCCATTGAGCGGTCGTCGCTTTTAGGGTATAAGTGGGCCTTTTTCTTTGTGACACTGCTTTTTTTTTCAAGAACTTATCATTTACCCTTTCACAACATTTAGCTAGTGTTAAAGGGACAATTGAGCCTTCATTATGTATAATTGTTGTCCCTGTTATCCGTTTCTGACAGCAATTATCGATTTCTGAGCACTTTTTAAACCTTATTCATGAGTAAACCTTCACTATTGGGTATTCACAATTTCATATTTTGTTGGTTGTCTGATTTTATAGGAAAATGAGTTTGTTAGTTTTCTTTGGCAGTGGTTGGCTCTAGAAATTTGAGGTATGCTTTTTACTTGTCCTTTACTTTTGTGGATCAGTTTTCAAAGATGGGGGTAAAGAAGAGAAAAGGAAAAATGCAAATACCACAGGTGTGAAGTGTTATTTTGTCTGTATGAAGTCTGATGCTGAGTCGGACATGCACACCCCATATATTTTGTCAAATAAGACCATCCAAGAAGCAAGGAGCATGTTCATGGATGTTCATACTGTACCCAACTTGGCTAAATACATGGCTAGGTAAAGATCATATAATTTCTCTTATATGTTAAGAATCTAAAACTATCCTTTATCCTGAGCATTGGATGTGCAGGTTTTCTCTTATTTTGTCAAAGACAATCAAACTAGAAGTTGATCTTGGTAGTGTGAATATTGAGCGCATCAATGATAAGCCTTGTTTGGTACTGTTGTTGGCCTTTTGCATTAAATGAGCTTGTGAAGGACTATTATTCTGAAGCCTTTTGCTCTTTTTCTAGCTTCATGGTATGGCTTTGTCTTCCTTAAAATTAATTCATGGATATAATCGTTTCTTTGTCAGGATAATCATAATGAGATTGTCTATGATCAGAATGGTCAATGCTTGATACACACAGACGGAACTGGTTTCATTTCTGAAGACTTGATGAGCAAATTTTCGAAGAATATATTCAAGGAACGCTATTTGAAACAAAAGAAGGTTGAGGTTTGTTCAATAGGATTGTTTTATCATGAAGCTATACAATGTTCCAAAAAATGCCGGGCAGTGCCTAGGCGGCCTGGGGGGTCCTATCTGCTTAGCGCTTAGGCGGCCCCTAGAATTTGTCATAGATACACTGCTAGTAATGCTTGCACAATGATACTGCAATACATGCATACACGCAAGAGTAGATAAGTAGAAACAAGAGAATAAGAAAAAGAAAATATACAGTCTAAAACAACACCAAGAGTCGGGTGTCTTTAGACATCATCAGAAAAAGTACGGTGAGCCGCATCATATGCATCGGAGTCGAGGCCATCATCATCAGAGTCATTTCCCTCTTCAACATAATGCTCATCTTCCTCCGTTTCTTCTGAATCAGCCTCTTCTTCTTCGTCTTCTACGCCCTCTTACTATGTGCAAATCAGGCCCTAGGAGTCTTCGTTGCTGTACTTGGTGACACTTCAAAATTTTCGACCCTTTTGTATTTCACAGAATTCCAATATTACTTAATCTCTTCCCTGGTAACCTCGAAAATATTTTTACATGGAGCAGCATCCCCCTTAATGCCAACAAGGTGTTTCTTGAACTGGTAAATATCCCATTGGTATGCTTTCCACAATAATTGCACCTTCTACACGTTTTGTTTTTCAAATTCAGGTTATGACCATACTTCTAACCTAAATCACCACTTTTATAAGAACCTGGAGAAGATAGTCCCATATAACAAGGCTCCTTTTTTTCCTTTTCTAGTTTTATTGAATTCAAATATTGTTTAATCTCATCCCTAATCACCACTTCTTGAAGAACCAAAAATAGATTTATTCAAATGATAAGGCTTTTGTTCATGTTTGTATTTTACCGAATTCATTTATTGCTTAATCTCTTCTCTAATAGCTTCAGGAGCATTTTTACGAGGGCAATATTCCCCCTAATAATACCGACAAGTATTTTTTGAGCTGGTTTATACCCCATTAGTATCTTTTTATAATAATTACATCTTATACGATTTTTGTCAATTGGATTTGGGTTATAATCATACTTCCAACCCGGATCACTGTTGGGTGAATGTGGCAATTAAAGGCCTTATGCGTGCTTGTAAAATGAAATGATATAGTGGAACATGAACTCAGTGGGGGTGTGGTCCCTCGTGGACCATATTAAACAAATGATGTTTACTGATACCGAACTGTGCTTGACGGTCTAGGCCACTCGGTTGGGGAAAACCTATGTTACCTGAGCATAAAAAATTAACTGATAAGGGTTTTAAAAAATGTAAAAAGCTAGTTATTTTAAATTGTTTTTCACTTTAAAAGTAAACAAAAAGATTTAGGTCACACGATAACTTGAACCCCCCTTTTCCCCCTTATATAGGGGTAAAAAAAACGAAAGATGCCCCTCAACCAAGTTCATTTTCACGCTGGGCGCTTGCCTAGGTAGGTTCCTTGGCGCCTAGGTGGTTGCTAATGGACTCCCCATCGAGGACGTTGCCTAGGCTTGGGCGATGCGCCCAGGCCCCCCTTACGGGCTGCTTTTTGAAACACTAAGCAGTACTAAATTTTAGCTTAGTAGACAATTGAATTCTATTGTGCGGAATTGATGGCACCTTGTAAGGATTGATATATAGAAATTTATTGGGCTTGATTTGGTAGTTTATGGAAATTTGATCTCTTTATGGATCTTTCAGTGGGTGTAACACTGGAAACATTGTGCGACATCGAAATTGTTGTATCGCTGCAGTTCAAGCTTTTTGTAGCGCCGCATTGCATGCTTATTGAGTTATTAGAAGTTTTTTTCTTTTAAGCATGATTTTAGTTGTTTGAATTCAACTTTTTTGATTTCTTGCTTTAATGTGCCCTTTCATATTTTTTAACTTTATTATTTGCTTTGTTCTTTGATCTAATGAGGGAGAGGACTTTAAAGTTTCCCTTAACCTAGGTAAAAGGTGGTGGGTTGCGTTAGGTACGCAACCAACGTAAAACTCTACCACGTCTTATCATGAGTCTTAAACCTTTGTTATATAAAGAATGGAGGAACAAGATTCATGTAGTCGACCAAATAATTGGGATAAGGCTTGGATAATGATGATGATGATTTTCTTTGTTCTTGGGCTTGGAGAGGACCACAATGTTATTTGTGTCTTGTATGATGCATGTTTTGAGGTTTTTCTCTGTCTATGTGGTGCTAACTTATTCGTTGCGTCACTTGTATGGAGGGTACGCCCTTTGCTTAGAAAGTTTTATGCACAAATGATCAGTGGCCATTTCCTATTGATTGCTTAAATGCAGTACATACATTATTAAAATGTACACTGGTTGCAGTCACTTGTAAAGCTTGCCTTTATGTTTGCCTTGACATAGAACTAAGTAAAGAAGCAGTCAAGGGCAGAAGCAATGAATTGTGTATATTATGCATTCTCCTGTGAGTGGTCACTTTGTGCGTAAGCCAAAGGTTGGACCGTTTACAGCCCACCCCTCTCGGGACCTTGCTTAGGTAGGACCACCACCGGGTTACGGTTCTTGATGCATTGTAGTTATGTATGTTATGCATTTTAATTTGTTTGTATTCTTGTTTGGGAAAATTGCAAAAACCCCACCAAAATGGACTTCTTACCCACTTTACCCCCTACCCAACTGTCCCTACCAAATACCCTCCATACAAAAGTTCATTTTTTTTGGACAAAAATACCCTTCCCTCACATAAATTATTTTGGTTGGAGAGGGCGGTACGGCATTTTGAACTGGCGGTCCAGTGAATATTTTTGCTGGATTGGCCGGTTCGGCATTTCATGGTGGCTGTTAGGCGTTTCATAGTGGCAGTCCGGCGTTTCATGGTTGCGGTCTATCGATTATTTTTTGCTTGAATGGGCGGTTCGACGTTTTGAAGTTGCGGTCCGGTATTTTGAAGGGGCAGTCCGCCGTTTTGATATGGCAGTCCAGCATTTTGAAAGGATAGTTCGGCGTTTTGAAGTAGTGGTCCGGCGTTTTGAAGTGAGCTGTCCGGCGTTGTACAAGTGCAGTCCGGCGTTTCCTTTTATTGGGATCCAAAAATGATTTGTTACATGAGGGAATGGTATTTTCGTCAAACAAAAATTAAATTTTTGTATAAGGGGTTTTTGCTAGGAAACATGATTTTTTGTGAGAAGTTGCTAGGAAAAGTTGCGTGGGGTAAAGTGCGTAAAAAGTCCATTTTGGGGGGTTTTTTTCAATTTTCCCTTCTTGTTTTATTTTAATGATCCAACAATGGGCACATGTTTTGGAGTGGATATTTAATTGTATGATAGCATTGAAGTACTTGAACATTTGTAATGCAATATCAACTTCTACTCTTCCATCTGGTAATGGATAATTCTATGGATCTCTCTCCCCCTGCCCTCTTCTGTGGAGGTGCTTGAATTATACAAATTTATCATGTGGAGGAGTGCATTTGACATAGAGTTTCCTATTTGTTTGTGCTTTTTTTTTTTTCTCTAATTGCATATTTGAATTTCTGTCCTGTTTGACGTTGTCTCTCTAATCTAAATTTCTGATTGCAGACGTGCTTAAATGGAATGGAACTCAATGCGAAGTCTGTTTTGGATGAGGAGATTAAATATGTTTCTGGGGATCTTGTATGGTTTATTAACTATTTATTTGATTTATTGACTTTCTGGGTTTAACCTGTAGCCTAGTAGTGAGGTGCTCTTTGCCTTGACTTCTGGTTCACAGCGTTGAGCTCATTAATTTAAAAACAAATTTGTTTTGCATTCCTATGTTCTACAAGATGAAGATCTTCTGATATTGCTTTATATTTGTTTCAGCATTTGCTAATCCAATTTCGGCTTTTTTATGATGGGTGTGCTGTCAAAGGAACTGTGCTTGTTAACAAATTGGTGTGTCATTCTCACCAAATGTAGAATATTTTGTTCCTTTTTATAGCTTGTTCATTATTTATTTGTTGTTATTCTTTATTTATGGTGGTTTGCGAACTTTGGACCCTTATCTTTGTTGTTTCTTATTGGTGTCTTCGATAACATGATGCATGTTGTTGGTTCTGTTGGACAGTAATTTATTTTTGATAGCTTCTCCTTTGTTATTTTGTTGATCGTAGACATAAATGTCATGGACATGCATTAATCGGATTCTTGAAAACATAAAAGCTATATTTTTGTCCTCTTGGCATGATTTATTTGGATTTGGTTACTGTGTTGAACCCATCAAACAAATTGCAATAACTGGGTTAAGCGTGTTTATGGAATATTTGATTGTATTTTAACTCTAAATTTGACATCCTGGAATCTTCCATGTGCTTAGTATCTTTGCTTATGTGCTTTATCACGTCTTTGGGAACCTTGCTTCTCTGATGAATTGTGAACATCTAAGATCAAATATTGGAGTATTGGGTATCTGATATATGTGTTTGGTGCTTCCTTTTCATGATAGTGGGGTGTAATTAGGTTAGGCAGCTATTGGCCATGCTTCTTTTTTGCATTTACTGGCCTTGGTTGTTTAACAATTGCAATATATGCTTAATTGACATCTGCCAATTTTGCTAATATCCATCTTGCTGATTGGTGCTGGCAACTTATTGGGAACATTTTCCAATAACACAGTTGACTATCTACTAGGACTTGATATCCTACTGACGCACTCAAGCATGGGATGCACCTAGTACTGCCGTTGATGTGCCATATATGACCACATTATCTTCTTGGTAAAAACTATGCGCATGGAAAGACATCATCTCAGAAAAAACAAATGAAGTTGAAGGAATGAAGAGAACTTGTAGTGTTTATGACACACATTACATATAGATGCATGCTTTTTACATGCATGTCTGCTGCTTGCATTTCTAGTGTCAGATGGCATCTCTATGAAAAGAATAATCAACTCGAACTTGAAACAGTTAGGTTGAGTGGCAGATTCTCTATTATTGCTTCTCCTGGTATTAATTGTTGTCGTTGCAGGCTATCAAAGATTAGATTAGATCAAACCATGATAAGATACATCATTAGGATAGAGTTTCTATATAATCTATATGATATATTTTCTAATGTCTCTGGTTAACCCAAGAATTGTGCTAAAATTTTGATCCTTTTCATGTTTTGATATATGATCTGTGTTTATTTTTCCTTGCTGTGAAATCTAGAAATGTGAAAGAGGCACTGGTTGTAGAGAAGCATTGCTAACATTCAAGATGGTGTTTTAGTTGACCATCTAGTTCACCCATTTATTGTGATTGGTCAATTGTGTTATGGCATGACCCAATATTGCTGAACTTCAATTATTTCCTTTAGAATCCATGTTAAGGTGATATTTTGCAGCACATATTTATTGGTTTTCAAATATGATTTTTCTTCTTATCTTTGCTTTGCTTTGGGGTTTCACCTATAATTCAATTCTTTCCTTGATAAGGAGCAGCACAATATCCCTGAGATAAGATGCTTTAATCTAATAGATAATCATTATGGGTTGTGACATGTAAAAAAGAGATATGCAGGTAGTATTTTTTATTTCGTCACTTCCATTTGACATCAGTATATTTAGTTCAGAAACTTATTTTGTTGATTTGTATTATTAACTCTATTTGCTTGACCTGTATTTTTCTGTCTTCTTTTCCGGAAACCTTACAGCTTCCACCTAACACCATTCAAGTGAGGCCATCCATGGTTAAAGTTGAGAGAGATACTGATTTTTCACGTCTTCCATCTTTCAATTCGTTTGAAATGGTTGGAACAAGGTTCGGATGGATTTGCATTTATGAACATGGCCTATGTTCGGCTTCTTCTTTACCTTTTGTGTTTTCAACAATGTATTATCTGGCTATCTGCTGTTTTCAAATTTCTTCAGCTTTTTGCTCTAGGTTTTTCGTAGTTCTTCGTCAACTGTTATACAGAATATTTGCATCACTGCTGAATCTGTCCCATCAGTATTTGGCATGTCGAAGACTTGTCTGAACTGAATTTTGTTTTGAAATGTTTCTTTTTATTGTAGCAATCGTCCAAGAGGAGCAGCCCTATCGAGGTATTTGATTACATTGCTCAGCCATGGAGGTGTGCCAAAATCGTGCTTCATGTTTCTGATACAGGCTGCTTTAGACGATGTTCAGAATGTGCGGTATTCAAAAAAATTGGCTTTAACAGGTGAGGATTCCGTTTAAATCTTTATGTACCAAGTCACATGTTCTCGTTGTGTATTTTTCTTTCAGAGATATATTTTCATGGATCAGGCCAACTGAAAAAAGAATAGATTTTTATGGATCATAATTTTGAAATTGGTAAGAATACTCAATGGATATGGATCAGATTACAATTTTGAAATTGATAAGAATACTCGAAGGATCTTTGTTTCTTTGTGATCTATATTTAAGTATAATAGCAATGTAGTCGCACTTTTCTTGCTTCAGGGAAGCACAAACAAGATTCCTTAGGGACAGTATACAATAAGCCGATTTGCCTTTGGTACAAAACATTGTTTTAAAGAGCGGACGTAGTTGCCTAGGTAAGTGCCTAGTTACCTAGGCAGCCTGAAGTGCTGGGGGGAGAGAGGGAGGGAGGGCATGCTTATCCAGTTTTTAAGGAGATAATATTGCATGGGTCTCTCTCT